GCACTTGTCCCTGTTGAATTTCATCCTATTTTTTCCAGTCCATTTCTCCAATTTGTCAAGATCATTTGGAATTCTAATCCAGTCCTCCAAGATACTTGTAGCCCCTCCCAGCTTTGTGTCATCTGGAAATTTAATAAGTGCTTTTTCTATTCCATCATCCAGATCCATAATGAAAATGTTGAGCAAACCAGAACTAGGGGGAGCCCTTGGCATCCAAGCAGAGCAGTGCTCACTGTGCTTGTGCCCAGATGTGATGGGAGATGGTGCCAAAGCTCTGCCATGTTGGCTGTGCCTCACTATGTCCCCTGGCTCACATGGGATCACTCTGCTTCACTGGCTGGAGTGATGCTGAGACTGTGCTGTGATGCCAGCTCTGTTGTCCCTGATCCCTGTAGGGTTTGCAGTTGCCAGAGCTGAGGTGAAGCTGGGAGGAGGCAGAGGTTGGTCTTGAGGAGGCCTCCAGCTTAAGCTGCTAAAGGCTGGTGCAGTTCCAATGCCTGGGGCCAGCCTTGGTGCCTGTACCCTGTCCAGGAGCAGAAGAGGCACAGGATCCCAGTGGGACCTTGCCCAGTGGCTGTGTGGTGGCCACTGTGGGGCTGTGCCTGGTCAATGGCAGCAGCACCAGAGGGTGCATGCAGCAGTGGTGAGATGTGGCTCTGTTGGCTGCCACTCCATGCCAGGTTGCAGCATACAGCAGGGACCACAGTGACAAATGGGGTGCAGAGGAGAGTGGGAGCAGTGGGAGGACAAGAGCCCTTCAGCTGAGTGGAGTGTGAGTACAGGGCAGCAGAGCAGCCTGTGATGGACTCACCTCCCCATGGCACAGCACTTTGGCTGGGTGCAGCCTCTCCCCAGCCCCGTGATGTCCCTGTGCTGAGGCTTCTTCCTTGAGGGCCGAGACCCCTTCTCTGGGCTGCACAGCCAGACTCTATGGCCAGCCTAAGCAGGAGGTGCTCGGTGTGCCTGCCCCACCCCTGAGGCCACTGGCCATCTCTTATCTTTGTTGTAGAAGGAAATTTACAAAATACCAACTGCGGCCCAAGCCAAGCTCTGTGTGGCCAGGCATAGCTTAATTTCACAGTAAAGTTTCCAATACTGTTAATAGCTTCTCCCAGCACCAGTCCCTGTCTGATCCAAGAGCTTTGCTTGCTGCACGGGCTGTGCTGAGCAGCCCAGGAAATGGCTCTTGTCCTGGCCTGCAGACCATGCAGCCCCCAGCGGTGGCAGCGCTGACAGGGCTGCTGCTGCTCGGCTGTGCAGGACCCGCCGGGGCTGCAGCCCCTCCTGCGGGGAGCACGAGGCAGATCTTGCTGCGATGCTGTCGCTCCGTGTGGCTCTCAGGGCAGTGTTCTAGCAGGGCTTGGCTAAGAGCTGGTGCTCTTGCTCTGGCCCCTTTCATGTCAGAGTTATGTCAGGGTCTAGGAGGTTTGTACACAGAGATGCATTAGTTCTGCATTTAGTGATACTTAAGTAATTGGTGTCACATCAATTAAATGGGTTCTTGGATACTGCGATGGTAAGTGGTGTGCAAAAGCCTCTGGACTGCAGGATATGAGGAATCCCAGTGGCAAGTGAGGCTGGTGGGGGTGTTGTGTGCCAAGGAGCAGGAAGGGTATGTGGTCTTTTGCAGGAGAGTGGGGTGGCCTGGGGTGCTGGAGGTGATCAGTGTCTGGGACTGCTGCCCTGGCAGTGTGGTGAGGGGTGTGCCTGGGGCAGTGCTGCCAACACTGCAAACCTCTGAGCTCCTCAATGCCCCAGTTGTCCTGTCCTGATGCTCCTCTGCAACAAGCCACCTGCAGGGGTACCTGGTTGAGCATCATCTGCCACTTCCCTCATGCTCCTGGGTTCCCATCACAGCCCACAGTGTGGGTTTGCCCATGCAGTGGATTCCCAGCACGGTGCTGCCTGCCCTGCCAGCTCACTGGGAGGGAGCTCAGGTGAGTCTGGGCAGCGTGGAGAACCCAGGCTCGCGTGCCTGCAGCACAGATCAGCACTGTCAGTCCTGTCCCTGCTGCGGATTATAGGCAAAGGTAATTTGCAGATGAGATCCCTGACAGTAAACATTCCCCCCCCCCCATCTTCCTACAAGCAGATAAGGCAGCAGCACTGTGGCAATACAGTTGCTGGAGGGAGCCAAGCTCTTTGGCAATCTTAAAAGTCTATTGTGTCCCCACAATTATTTATAGATAAACAGAAGAAAGCCAATAAGCACAGATTGGAGTTGCACTGCTGTGTTTGTTGTGATGATGAGGTTCTCTCCCTCACACCCACCCACGCACATTTCCAGTGCATGAAAACTCGCTGCTGGCAACAATCACATCCCTGTCCTGTAAGAGGCAGGACAGGCTCAAGGTTTGTCCTTCCCCTCCTGACTTGCTGCCCGACAGTTTTGCCCTGCAGTGACCGACTGCACAACCTCTCCAGCAGGACTGGCTGGGTCCTCACCAGCTTGAGCAACAGGACCTCAGGGTATGAGAGCTCCCCGCGGCCGGGAACGGCGTGGGAATGAATGTCTTGGCTTTCCCTGCTCCTCTCCCAGCCCACGCTGCTGCCACGGACAGAAATGGGTGTGTTTGGAGGAAACCGTGTGACGATCTGAGATTAAACAACGTGACAAGGAAGAGCAATGGACATCACTGCTCACGAGTGTGTTTCTGCAGCCTATGGAGCAGAGATGCCAGGGATGAGAAATGCTGACTCTGGCACTGGAAGGTACTGGGAAGTGCTGTGCTCCCCCTGCTCGGTGAGCACTTGCAGGGTCTCTGAGCTCTGTGGGAGCCTGCAGAGAAGGGCCAGGGGCCTGGCAGGGCTGGACCTGTTGAAATGGGGGACAGGAAAGTTGCAGGCACAAGGTGTGGGGTGCATCTGCACGGGGCAGCAGGTTCCCTGGGTGAGCTGTTGTCCCTGCAGGATGTCCACAAGGAAAAGCATCAGGATGAACACTCTGGCTGTGGACAGCATCTGAAGCAGCAACTGGGAGCCCTTAACTGGGCTGGAGAGTGGCATGATTTTTCATTTCTTCCTCATAATAAGAGGACAGGAGTAAGTGACTAGTACAGTTCGTTCACTCGGTAAAGATTTATACAATCACTTCATCCAGTAATTGGTATTCTGGGGAGAGAGGGAGCTGCAGCTCCAGCACCCGCCTCTATTTGTTTTCTTTCTGTCTTTTTCTCTCCCCTTTTCAGAATGAGTAATTCTGTCCCTCACAATCCCATTTAAACAGAGCATTTGCAGAGTGAATAATTAGTTACATTCAATTAAGTCTCATGCACCCTCCCTTCCCACTTTGGGGGACAGACTTGCTAATGAGGTGGCACATGTCTGACATGTGGGAGCAGGCCAGAACACTCTGTCAGCAGGGAAAGGTCAGCAGTGGGGGGCAGGATGCCAGCCTCCTGCTGTGGCCAGCCCTGGGGACACAGTCCTCTGGGACTGTTTGGGGCCAAAGGCTCCGTGCCTGTGGCCCAGGTGATACCAGCCCTCTCCACTGGCAGGACCAGCAGGATTTTTTTAGGATGCTCTCTGGGCTGGTGCTGAGGGGACACAGCCCAGTCCTGGGACCGTTCCACCAGCACGGCTGGGAGCACCGAGCGCTCAGAGGGAGAGCTGCTGACACGCTTTAATCTCCCTTATTAAACTTAACATTAGGTTTTAAGAGGAGCCTTAAATTGTGTGCCACTGCCTTGACAGTAAAAGCCTCTCCAAGTTC